CTCTCGATATGGCTTTTAATATACTGTGCTGCTTCATGACCAGCACTGTGCTGACCAGCAGTTATTTATTGTTCTGTTAATACCCAGATGCAGTAGTGTTGCTTATATTTCATGTCTATCAGCAGAGATTTTAACCTGAAACTATCTGAACATACTGTCCCATGGAGGAGTATGCTCACCATTGTTTATACATGCATGAATTCTGCTCCGCACATGCAGACGACTCCTGTGATAGAGGACATGAGGAGGCATGGTCTCTCCGTGCATGACGGTGGGAATCCCATCTGTGAATCACTGATCCAGTGAATTCAGTTGATCACTATATCTCAGGCTTCAAAATGGGCGTCGCGAGTGTGGGAAGGCCGAGTCTTCAGGAGCCCGCCGGAGTGTGAATGGGAAACGTGGGCTTAAGTATATGTTTCATATACTGACAGTGTGACATGGTTCTATAGATCAGTTTATAATAATAAATATTTTAATTTATCATAATTTATAGAAGCTTTGTTGTTTATCAGCAGAAGGAAATGAAGGAGCAGGAGGAGCTGTACTGTGCACTGCTGGGTCCCAGCGAGTGGGCGTGGCAAGCCTTCCTGAGTCAGGGCAAAAGCACTATTGTTAATACCTACTTTAAAGAAAGACTGATGACACACTATTTTCATATTTTTTTGTTTATTTGCACAACTTTAAACCAGATTCCTGGTTAAAATTCAACAGTACACAATTTATAAAGTGAAAATATTTTATAAGGAAAGCATATGACCGGTATGAATTACAGAGGGAGGTTTGGTTTTACTTGTTTTCTTGTTTGGTTTGGTTTTTTTCTTTTTAAGAAAAACCTTGCCTAAAATAATCTTGTAAAAAGTATGTATTTTAAAATTTTGTTTTAATATAGAATACTATAAAGCCAAAATATAATTGTTTTCAGATTTGGAGTTTAAAATAGAGCTATAGAGGTGGTTTTGATTCTTTGACATCTCATAAAATGAGACTTTTGTATATTAATGTATAATAAAACTGAAATAAGATTATTTTCCTTGAAATGTTTGTATAGTTTAAAAATGCTTCTGTGTTCTTTGTTGGTATTGGGCCACTGCAGATCTTAGTGCAGGGTTTATATTTAGCTAAACTGTTATGTTAATTAAGAAATGCATAAATCTTTTATTCTTAATATTTGTAATTCTGAATAAATCAATCTATGAAATTTAATGGAGTCTGAGAATCTTGTTAATGTAAGATGAGGGTTAATTCTGTTTTCAGAGGCTGGTGAGACAGCTCAGCAGGTACGAGGTGCCTGGAGGCCAGTGTGGCCACCTGAGTTGCATAGGTTACCCTCTGAGCAGAGCACCCACATATGAACAAGGGAAAGTAACGCAGGTGCGCTGGTACACGCCTTTAATCCCAGCACGAGGGGCCTGGCAGAGGCAGGTGCGTTTCTGTGGGTTCAAAGCCACCTGGTTCTACATAGAACCTGTCTCAAAAGAAGTGGTGTTTTTTTTTTTTTTAAATGTTTATAAGAATGACAGTTTCTGCTAAGTTTTTAGGCGATACAGTACAGATTGGTGGCCAGGTCTGTTATGTTTTTTGTTGTTGTTTATTTTAAGTCAAATTCTCACAGTGTTGCCCAAGCAGGCTTTGCAGCTGGGACTTAAGATGCACTTCACCATGTCCAGCTCTGATCATCTGGCAGTCAGCCCCGTCCAGTATCATTCACGGAGAGGTGGTTTTGTTGTTCATCTGTGAGTAGATCACTGTGGAAACACTAAACAAGTAAACCTTTTCTTAGTATGGACCCGGCAGAAGGCTAAATGTAATATATTCCGCCTAGAAGTCAGTCAATGTTTTTGACATTTTTTTAAAGTATTACTTAACCTTGAATATCACTTAAGACAGACATAATTTGTACGTTGTCTGTCCTTCAGTGCTGTGTGTCGACAGCAGAGCCTGTGCCTAAGAATATAGCTGAAGTTTATTTTTGTTAAGGGAAGAAGCACTATCTAATTGAAGTAGTTTTTCCGAGTCAGATGTGCCTGGGCTTGAACGATGCTGACACTGGTGAGCATGTTTGCAGCTTTACAGAAAGCTCCCAGGGCCAGATGGAGCCAAGAGAATGGATCTCAGTTACTCAACACCAGCTCTAAAAAGTCAAATTCGCTGGTCACTGAGAGTGCAAAATAAACAGATTTACCTATTAAGTTTTCTTTATTGAGCAGGACTGCTGTGAGTAAAACCCATAATCCCAGCTTATTGAAAGGCTGAAGCAGAAGGATCACAAGTTCATGGCCAGCCTGGGCTACAGAGTGAATTCAATACTAGCCTGGGTAACTTGGTAAGATGTTGTCTCAGAGTTTTTAAAAAAAAAAAAAAAAAAAGAGGGGGGTGGGGGACAAAATCAGACAGGCAGTGGTAGCACATGCCTTTAATCCCAGCACTCAGGAGGAGTGGATCTCTGAGTTCAGGGCTAACCTGGGCATACAGATCTATACAGAGAAATCCTGTCTCAAAAAATCTTTCTGTCTTCCTGTTTGTCTTTCTGCCTTGCTTCCTTCCTTTTTTTCTCCGTCTCAGAAAAAACCTTTCTTCCTGTCTTCCTGTCTATCTGTCTTTGTTTTTTATGTGTATATATGTTTTGCCTGTGTGTACATATGTGCACCATTTGTATGCCTGATGCCCAAAGAGGCCAGATCTGGAACTGGAATTAAGGAAAGTTAGGAACCATGTGGATGCTGGGAATTGAACCTGGGTCGTCTTCAAGAGCAACAAGTGTTCTTAATCGATGAGCCATATCTCTAACCCCTAACTACATGGTTTCTTTTTGACAGTGATTCTGAGTATACCACAAAGTTTAAGGTGTTCTGAGATCTTCTCCATCTTGTCACTGGATTTGCATCCTCTCAATTGGCCTAAACTATCATCTAAACTGTCACCAGTTTAAGTGTGAACCTCTGATGGTGAGACCTCAAACTACCATATCAGTATTTCAATAGATCTTAAGTTCACTTAGTCATTTACATATACTAGGAATGTAAAAATAGGAGGAAAAATTCTGAAACCAAAATACTCATGAGTCTTATTTGAACAAGCAAAGGTAAGTATGGTGGTTTGAATGAGAATGACTCCTATAACTGTTTGAATGCTTGGTTTCCATTGGTGGAATTGGGAAGGATTGGGAGGTGTGGTCTTGTGGAGGATGTGTGTTACTGGGGGTTGGGCTTTGAGACTTCAGAAGCCTACACATCCCCAGTACTCTGCCCTCCTTGTTTCCAAATGTGAGCTCTTCCTGCCATCATGCCTTGGTTTCTCCATCATGGATGCTGCCCCTGTGTAACTAACTGTCAGCCCAATCAACCTTTCTTTTATAAGTTGTCCTGGTCATGGTGTTTATCACAGCAACGGAAAAGTAACTAAGACAATAAGCTTTTTAAATGTTTTCTTGATTTTCTTTATTTTGTATGTGTTGTATGTGGGTGCACACCATAGCACACACGTGGAAGTCAAAAAGACAAATTCATTCTGCCTTCCACCATGAGAGTCTTGGGGATCAAACTCAGATTGTCAGGCTTGGTGGCAACATGTTTACCTCCACTGAGCCATCTCAGCAGCCCAGCAAATACGCTTACTCAAATTCTTAATGCACTATATATGCAGAAAGTTCTCTTCAGAATGTTTTTCTCAGTCATTCGTTATGTATTCTCCAACTTTCCCAGCGCTGCAGTCTGGGAAAACAGAGTTCAGTTCAAAACGGGGCTCATTTCAGTGGGATTTGTGTAAGAGTAGTAGTGAGGAACACTTAGTAACCCACTAATGTTGCACAGGAAACGTAACAAGTGCTAAGAAAAATGGTTGTCAAAGTAACAGGTGCAAAAATTAAGATTAGTTAGGAAAAATTCAGGTTTCAGAAAGGGAGGCACCTTAGTTGTTTTGAAAGAGAAACTTTTTCACTGAATCCCAACCAGAAAGGAATGACAGATAGAGAAGCACATTGTGGGTAAATGATCTTAAGGTTTGCATAAGCTAAAAGATGATGTCGTTGACTGGAAGTGTGCTTGACAGTCTTACAGACAGGGTGTAACAGTTTTGTAACTGGAGGCTGCCACAGATTCCCAAATAGAGCAATTAAAAAAAAAAAAAGTGGGGAACAAGAGCCATGGGGTTCTTGTAAGAGCTTGAAAGAGCATCTTTACTGATGGAGTGCAAAATTGACCAGTCCAGATGAGAAACCTGTCAAGTGGGGTTGGGCAGAGGAGATGGCTAGGAGAGACAATCAGGAGAGAGAAGCTGAAAAACTCTGTGGTAATGGCTATAGCTAATATCAACATTTCATATACTTGAAAATTGCTAATAGATTGCATCATCACAGAAAAAAGGAAGGTGACTGATGTCATGCATGTGTTAAGCAGCTTGATTTGGATATATGTTAATATACAATTTTAAGCAAAAAAATAACATCCAATGATTTGGATATATATGTTAATATCAAATACAATTTTAAACAAAAATAGCAACATTCAGTCACAGTGGCAAATAAAGGTAGGAGGACAGGAGTTCAAGGCACCCTTACTTACACTGCAAGGTCAAGAACAAAACAGAAAGACTCAATAAGAAGAGTAATCAATCTTAGTGATAAGGTCAAAAGTACAGAACGTGAGTTAGAGTGGGTGAACCCACGTTGTAGGGTCCTGGAGGGACTGCGAGAAGACAGCCGCTGCTGAGAAAGGGGGTTGTCATGAAGAAAACAAGTTCTGAACAATCAGTCTGAAAAATAAGAATAACCCAGAGGATGTGGACCAAATTATAATGTGCACTTTTAAGAGATTTGCAGTGACTTCTGGGTGGGAGGGTGGGTGACTACTGGAACAAGCCAGCAGTAACGGCTCAGTGTCAGAGAGGGAGACCTAAATATGAGAGGTCATTCAGAACCAAGGCCATGACCAGTCAGGAGATCAGACACGATAGCGTTCTCCCAGGTCTCCCTGAGTGCGTCTTCAACTCTCCCAGAATCCTCAGAAATTACCTAAGGCAGAAAAGATGTGCTCCTCCCAAGAGTCCAACTTTGAGCCACTATCTTCAGAGAGAGATGAGTAAGTTTCAAAACTTTGAGAACCAGCTGTACAGACGCCTCCTCCAGCCATACTGAGATCCGGAACAGGGTTCACTTCTGCCTCCAGAGGCAGCTGAGGCTTCAAACACCTTGCTTCAGTCCCAGGAGCAGGGTGATGGAGGAAGACTTCCCGCCTTGAGGATAAGAGCGGAGCTGACTTCCCACTCTGGCGCCTGGACTTGGCCCGTCTGTTCTGGAACCACACCTGGGGACAGGAGGAAAAACACTGCTCGGCTGCTTTGGGTTGGGGTTTTTATTGTTAGATTGTTTGAGGTTTGATTGAGATAGATAGCATCTCTAGCCAGTGCTGGCCTTAAACTCAGGAAGACCATCCTTGAACTTGTGATTCTCCTTCCTCCATTCCTGCAGAGCTGAGTTACAAGCTGCAGAAATGGAGTTATGTGGTGATAAGAATTGAACTCCGGGCTTCATGCATGCTAGGCAAACACTCTACAAACAGAGCTATATATTAGCCATGGCTGTCTGCTCAGTCTGTGACTTACAGAAAGCACTTGAGCTGATGGTTTGACATTCAGAGCTCCAAACTTTCTCAGCCATTCTCAGATGCAAAGCTGGAATGATGTCTGGTTCTGTATACACTTGCTATACTTGATTTGTTTGTCTGTATTCCATTTTACACATTTTTTTTTTAAAGACAGGGACTCAGCTAGGTGGTGGCAGCACCTATCTTTAATCCCAGCAGACAGAGGTGGGTCTCTGCGAGTTTGAGGCAGGCCTGGTCTTACAGAGCTAGTTCCCAGAGCAGCCAGAGAGGGAGAGAGGGAGGGAGGCAAGGAAGGAGGGAGGGAGGGAGAGAGAGAGAGAGAGAGAGAGAGAGAGAGAGAGAGAGAGAGAGAGAGAGAGAGAGAGAGAGAGAGAGAGAGCACCAAGAGTGCCCTTGATTCTTCTACCCCCAGGATTTCTGGCATGTGTCATCACACTTAGCTTCTGTCTACCTTATATGGAGACATTTGCTATGAGAAAAGGGGTCATGGAAGTAGATACCTGCAGTCCTTAGGCAACAAGGCTACTCCACTTTGGTGACCAACATTCAAATTTCAAAGTCTGGACTCCCTCATTAAACCAAGTAGGTATTTTTCCTCAGTAAAGCGCGTTTCTGTTTGTAAATGTCTTTATTACTTCCCCACAAATACTACTGAAGATGTCCTGCTTTGGAAGCCCACAGTGACAACTGTTGAAAGTGACAGTTAGCCAGGCGGTGGTGGCACACACCTTTAATCCCAGCACTTGGGAGGCGGAGGCAGGTGGATTTCTGAGTTCGAGGCCAGCCTGGTCTACAGAGTGAGTTCCAGGACAGCCAGAACTACACAAACCCTGTCTCGAAAAAAACAAAACAAAAAAGAAAAGAAAAGAAAGTGACAGTTGAAACCAGGAGATAGTGGCACCCCTATAATCCCAGAGGAAGCAGGCAGATCTTTGATTTCAAGGCCAGCTTGGTCTACAGAGCAAGTTCCAGGATACCCAAGGCTACCCAGAGAAACCCTGTCTGGAGGGGGTAAAAAAGTGACAGTTGAATAACCATTCTAAGTACTGGAAAAATAAACACTAAATGTCCACCCTCCCTTGAGATTAAATGAGGCCTCCTACCTAAAACTACATACACTCAGGCACAGACTGTCAAGAAAGCAAGCGTCTAAACTGGGTGTTGGGGGAATACACCTGTAATCCAAGCACCCAGGAAGCTGAGGCAGGAGGATTGTGAATTGATGTCCAGCCTGGACTTGTCACACACACACGGTGGGGGGGGAGAGGAGAGAGAGAGAGAGAGAGAGAGAGAGAGAGAGAGAGAGAGAGAGAGAGAGAGAGAGAGAGAGAGAGAGGAGAGAAGCTTCTGATCTAACCTTAGACTATAAACTCACTTTACATTATTTTTTCAAAGTGACATTATTTTTTCAAAGTGCTTGTTTTGAAGATATCTGGTGATCCAACCCTGCTCTGCTACTTAAAAATCAAAGCCAGAAGAAGGTCCGTGACTGCACCACCTCCCACACAGACCCCTTTGTCTTCTTTCTGGACGCGGGGAAAGAGCACAACTACTACCCATCTTGTTACTGCTAGGACCTTTCGATGGGTTGGGTCCGCAAGCCTCCTAGCTGCCCAGATGGATCACATGGTAACGCGGCATCCCTAGATTGCAATCTGGAACCATGAGGTTCAAAGAGAGTAACTTTTCCCCACAGAATAAATGACCCAACAAGCCTGTGCCCCCCCCCCCCAGTACCACCACTCGAGTGCGCAGCTGCGACCGCGACTCACCTGGATCCTAGACTCGGGGAGCAGCGTGAGCGCAGCCAGGCGCTCCCGCAAGTGGATGTCGGGGTACATAGTCTGTCGGAAGACAAGCTCCAGCAACTGCAGCTGCTCCGAGCTGAAGGACGTGCGCTTGCGGCGCTGTGGCACCGACGGGGCGGCCGCGCCTTTGGAGGGTCCGGGCGGATCCAGGCCGGCGAGACTCTGCGCTGCGGGCCTGGGGCCCCGGCTTGGAAAGCACGGCGTGGCCGCTGGGGCGCGGGAGTCGGGGTGCGCCGGGGGCAGCCCAGCGGCTGGGCGGGCGGCCGGGAGCAGCTGCCCTCCGGGGTGCACGACCGGGAAGGTGGGGAAAGGGGCGCCCTCTGAGAACTGGAGCTGCTGGGACCCTGCTGCGGCCATGACTCCCGGACACTTCCCGGGACCTCCGCGCGCCTGCAGTTATAGCGGCCCGGAGCCGGGGAGGGGGCGGCGGCGCCATCAAAGGCGTGGGTGCGGGGAAACCGCGTCTCCTCGGGGTGCGAGCCCGCCCCAGCCCCGCCAGACGCCGCGGGAATAATCGCTTCCGCTGACCCAGGGACGGAGAGAGGGAGGCGCGAACTTGAGTCCCGGCCGCTCCGTCCCTTCCCCGCCCATCCGCCGGCCAGCCGGACCACCAATCCACATACTTAGAACTGCTCGGCTCCGGTGGGGTCGTCCAAAGTGCGGGCCAGACTTGGACAGAATCCCCTCTTCTGGATCAGAATGCCCCTCAAGAGCGCTTGAATCTCTCAGGGGGCCTGGTTCTCAGGTCTCCCGCGCTGCGCCTGGCCTGCTGTCCGCCTGTCACCATCAAAGGCGCTATTTACCACCCCTGCGATGTGCTAGACCTTACTACAGGTTGGTTAAACAGCCTAGCCCTGCCCTCGGCAAACCACCCTGACACATCCTGAATCCGAGGGGGGTGAAGATAAAGAGATCTCAAAGGGGACAGGCGCACATCCTGAGCAGGGACGCTGCTCCTGCCTCAAATATCTGTGACCTGTCAACAAGGATGCTGTAAACTGGGCGGGCTGAAGTTGTTCGGGGTTAGCGCTCCTAGAGAATCCCAACGGTGCTCAGACCCCGAAGAAATAAAACCACTCCTTGAAGGTTCTGCTCCCTCTGATACCATTACTGTTTCCTTTGTCCCCTGGAGCTCACTTAAGGTTCCCGTTTTGTTTTACGCTGATTTGAAGTTTAGTTGCTTGCGGCTTCTCTATCTGCTTCCACTCGTGCATACATGCATTCACTGATTCATATTAAGTCTCTCCCCACCTTCTTACCTGAGAATAGGACCCAGGGACTGGAAAATCCTAAGCAAGACCCCCAGTGAGCATCTGTTGAACCAGAAACTAACTTGCTTCATAGAGAAATCAGAGGCATGTAGCGTTATGCCGAAGGGCGCAGAAGCATGGAGCACAGCTTGCAAGGCCTCCAAGGGGCTCCCTGCTGAGGGAGTTCCATAGCACAGTGTGTTCCATAGCACAGCCCAGGACCTGTCCCTGCTTCTTCTTCAGTGCAAATGAAACGTCTCACAGGAGAAGGCAAATGTGCTGGTCATGAACGCATCCTGTCTGCTAATACACATGTATGCTAATAGGCATGTATGCTAATTAATATGCATGTATGCTAATACACATGCAAGAAGAGTGTAAGCCAGCTGACACAGTGCTGGGAACTGAATCTTCATCCTTTGAAGAGCAGCAAGTGGGTATATCTTTACAATGGGCGATTTTTCCAGGTGATCATCAAGCGGCCTAGAGAGGTCTAGGCTTGAGCCGTCCACCAGCAGAGTAGTAGCAGGAAGTGTCTTGGCACACACACACACACACACACCTCCAACCCCTCTCCCTTTCTTTCCTCTTCTATTTCTTTAACAGAGTTTTCGGGTTCACAGTGGTGTATGGAATGGAAAATCAGATTTTTATTTTTCTTGCTTTTTTTTTCCTTCCTCTGCCCCCATACATACATCAGGGTCATGTGTATCCCAGGCCTCAAACTCTCTATGTAGCCAAGGATGACGTTGAACTTCTGATCTTCCCACCTCCACGACGCAAAGCTATATTTACAGACATTCCACACATGTCTGGTTTTATGCAATGTTGGAGATCAAACAATGTCAGACAAGCACCATAACAACTGTGCTACATCCTCTAGCATTTCTTTTTAAATTAATTTAGAGACTGGGTCTCACTATATAGCCCAGGCTGGACTTGAACTTGAGATCTCCCTGCCTCGGCCTTCTGAACACGACAGTTCATACCTACTTTTATTCTTCTCTTTTTATTTGCGATGCTTAGGACCAAGTCCAGGGCCTTGTGCATTCCAGCAAGGTCTTTATCCCTGAATTACATGTCCAGCCCATCACTCGATTTTAAAATCCATTGTTTAAAATGAATTATTTAAAAACAATGTATGCCTGTGCCAGGCTGTGCTTGTGTATCTTCTTATATAGTAGGTGTGTGTGTTCCTGTTTTACTCTCCAAGAAAGCCAGCCTAAGAAGCAATCAGAGGTCTATAACTATTGCTCACAGTAGGAGCTTGCCAGTGACAGTTAAGTCTACTAGAGACTCAGGCTGGATTCTGAGCTGTAGGAATTCTTCAGCCTGCTTTGTGGAAGTCCTCCTGGGTCCTTTGTCCATCATTGTCCTCTGCCACCTTCTGCTGCTCAAGAGGAACACTACAGGGCAGGGAAATGGGCTGAAGTAAATAATGACAGGCTGTGTACTCCTGGGAGCTGGGGCTGAGTGTGGCCAGAGATCACAGTGCAATCTGTGATCTGAGAACCCTCAACCCAACCAGCAAGCATCATTTTCTTTTCCTTTAGATTTGTCCCATATTGCAATATGTATTGAACAAGACCTCAGAGACACTCCATTCTCTCCTCCTTTTACTCTAAATTTGGCTTTTCTTTTTTTATTCTCTCTCTCCCCCTCTCTGTCTCTCTATGTCTCTGTCTGTCTGTGGGTCTCCCTCTCCCCTCCCCCATTCCTCTCTCTCTCTCTGTCTTTCTCTCCTGTCTCTCTCTCTGTCTCTCTCTCTCTGTCTCTCTCTCTCTCTGTCTCTCTCTGTCTCTCTGTCTCTCTCTCTCCCTGCACTTGTGAATATGCACACATGAGTTGTCAGAGGACTATTTGTGGGAAATGGTTCTCTCCACCCGCTATGTAAGTCCAGAGATTGAACTCAGTCCAACAGGCTTGGCAGCAAGCACTTTTATCTCCTCAGTATCTTGCTGGCTCTGAATTGATTTTTTTTTTTTTTGCATGTACTTGGATGTACCCTTGTCCAGATACAGAGAAGACTTGGGTTGGAACTGGAAGTGAAAGGAAGAAAAACTCTTACCCAGCACTCAGAAGGCAAGAGGGAGGATTTCTATGATTCTGAGGCTAGCCTGGTCCTCCAAAGCGAGTTTCAGGATAGCCAGGGCTATATAATAGGGAAATCCTGCCTCAAGAAAAGACAGACAGAAAGAAGGAGGCACGAATGTACTCATGCACACACATGCCCGTGCACACACAGACACACGGTGCGGGGGGGGGACTTTCATAGCCTTCGGCATTGTTTCACTCTGGTCATTTGAGTCCCTGTTGTTCCAGTACTTAGGAGGGTGAGGCAGGAACGTCACATCAAGTCCCACCTGCTCTACACAGGAAATTCCAGGTCAGTCAGGACTACATAAAGAGACCTTGTCTCAAAAACTAAAATAAATAAAGAAAACCACGTGGACAGATGTTTGTGAGTGCATTTTTAAGCCTTTTGAGAATTCTCCTATAGTTATTTTTTGAGACGAGGTCTTGCCATGCAGTCCAGGCTGCTGGAATAGTTGGCCCTCATTCACCTTTCTTGTGCTGGGAATGCAGGCACGGTCCGTCAAGCCAACCTCATTTTTGGATGAATAACTGTGGTGTGGTGTTCTGGGTTAGATCCTGGAAAAGAAAAAGGATATAAATGACAAAGTGGGTAAATTTTAATTAAGACCCACAGCATAGCATGCCCAAGACCCTACCTAGGTTTGCTCTCTGAAGAGGAAAATAGAAACAAACAACCAAAACTTGACTTTTACAAAGCCAAAGCAAGGGTACAGGGTGCTCTATCCACAGAGACATCTAGGCTTCTCCTTTGTTCATAGATGGGTTGGGGGATGGCGGGCACTGCAGCAGGTCTGCAAAAGCTCCCCTGTGCACACATTTGTTCAAGGACTACTGCTTTTTGTTCAAAGACTTGTCATGAATACTGTGTAGGAAGGCTGACAAAATGGCTCAGTGGGTAAAGGCACTTACCTCTAAGGCTGGCAATCCCCAGAACCCACATAAATGTTAAAGAAAAGTAACTTCACGAAGTTGTTCTCTGACCTCCACATATGCATCACGGCACAAAGAGCCTTCCTCCAAATGAATAAATACTTTCTCTGTGTGTTGAATGTGTATGTACATGTTTGTATATGTGTACATGTATGTGGAAGCATATACATATGTGTGCCTGTGTACAAAGGGCAGGAGTGATGTAAAGTATCTTTCTCAATTTGCTCTCTTACTTTAAAAAAAATGCTTTATTTTTTATTTATGTGTCTATGTGTATGTGTGTGAATGTGTACACATGTGTGTGAGTATGGTACTCACAGAGATCAAAAGAGAGAATTAGAGCTCCCGAGGCTGGCTGGAACGACCGGCAGTTGGGCACTGTCCAACATAGATGCTGGCAAACAAACTTGGAGCCTCTGCAAGAATTTAACCACTTAGACTCACCCCTGGCCCCTCATCTTACTTTGGTGAGACAGGTCTGTTACTAAGCCTGGAGTTCACGGAGCTGGCTGCAGGGACCAGCCAGCGAGCTCCTGGACTTGGTTCCTTGAACTCGAGGCCTGAATGCTAGGCATGTTCTGTTGTGCTAGGTTCTTACATGTATGTTGACAACCCAAATTCAGGTCCCCATGCTTGAACAGAAATTGCTTTGCCTACCTAGTTAATACCTCAACCTTATAAATACTTATTGAACTCAAATTCTATGTTCTGCTGGCTATTTCTCTGTAAACATATATTGAATAGTAGTTCTTTCACATTTATTTCTTCAAACGGAAAATATGAAGAACTCCTCTTCTTAACAATACCTTTAAATTTACCGGGCATAGTGGTGCATGCCTTTAATTCTAGCACTTAGGAGGCAGAGGCAGGCAGATCTCTGTGAGTTCAAGGCCAGTCCAGTCTACAGATTGAGTTCCAGGACAGTCAGAGCTACATTGTGAGCCCCTGTCTCAAAAAAATTTAATAATCTTTAATATATATATCATTTATATATACCTCTAATTTATACATATAATATTTAATTTATATATGTGTGTATATATACATTTGTATGTAGAGAGAACAGTTTCACAAATAGAT